ACGTGAAACTCTCAAATCCTTCCTAAAATAAGCCTTACCTACCCTGATTTCCTGCCTTGCCAAACGAGCTTAGTTTTAGTCCTTCTTTAAAAGCTCTCAGAAATACCAAATAAATATCACTTTCCCACTGTGAAAAACCTTTTGGTTGTAATAAGATGCATGCCAAATTGCCAGTTGCCCAGGTTCCTTTGATGCACAGATCTCCTCTTTGTTTAGGCTGTAAACTATTTGGGACAGGAACCTTGCCTTTAAGCAGCTAAAATACCATGCACATTTCCAGCCCTGCATAATCAGTCTCATCTCTCCCAGGCAAATGGCCAGCACTCATACATTTCTGCTTCCAAGTTCTGAGCGCCCCATTTTGCATACCTCTCCTTCACCTATATTTTACAAGTTTGCTCTTTTCTGCCTCCATAAATAAGTGTGGAAGTTATCTGCAGCACTTCAGGAGCCAACCAAGTAAGGTTGTAATTTCCTTTGCTCAGCTGGTGTTTGTACATGCCCCCAGCTTTCTGTGACCCCATCCTTGTTGATATGCCAGTAGGGGTGGGGGCAGGGGGGAATTGGGCTAGAAATTAGCCAATTAACGATTTCTCAGCAAAATGCAACAGCCCCAACTCTACTTCTTCCAAACCACAGAAGAATTTTCTTTCAAAATACTTTCCCCTCAGTCAGCAGTCTGCACTCACCCTCCCCCACTCCTCCACTCCACCCCCCCTTTGTCAGACCTGCTTCTGGAAAAAGTCTCGCTGTTCCAGAACACGATGCATTAATTCAACATGGACTTTGTTTTACTTGTCTAAATATTCAGCAGAGAAAATAACTGTCCAGAGTTATCAAATGTGTTCATCTGCAGACAGGAGCTCTTCAGCCTTTGTCCCTCTCCCCCCGCCCCCTCCCCTTTTTTCAAATAACAGAAAACCTCATGCCAACAGATAGAAAAGAAAAATAATGACATTTCTTCTAAACAGTTCTGTACTGCACATGCTCTTTCTTCAACCAGCAAGGGGCAATAAACATTTACTACTTTCCTTGGAGCACAGAGGAGGAAAAAAAAAAAGAAAGAGCAAACAAAGTCTGAAGCTGCACTGTGCTGGTTTGATTTAGCTCAGCAAAGCAGCCTTGTACTGTGAGTGACAAACATTTCACCAGCATCAAGGACAAGCAGGGAAAAAGAGTGAAAACAAAGGGAGAAGCCCTGCGAGTAATGAAACGGCTGCCAAAGAGGGCAAAGCGGCTCTGGTGGGATGCGGGAAAGGGTAAGAGTACATGAGCACACCAGCCAGGCTCAATTACCAGTACTGATGACGAGCTCTTTCCACAGTTAGAAAACTGGCTGCAGAATGACCCACCCAGGCTAGGAGGTGGCATTCAAGTATCAAGACCACTGGGTTACACGGCTGCCTTCCCTCTACACCCCGTCCATCTCTTCCCATCAAGCTCACTCTCTCTGTAAGTTAGGCAAGCAGTAGGAAGACCTATGGTTTCCAAGTTCTAACTTTACCTCTTTCATCGAATAGCTTATTTCTTGTGCTAGTGGCTACTCTTAAAGAATAGGCTCATTTGGCAGAAATTCAGCCCATATGTCACTATATTGTTGATATGAATAACTTAAAAGTACTTTCCTGCATTGTAACGGCTCCAGTTGAAAGTGTTGGGCACAAAACCAAAGTAGCAATAACTTATGTCAGATATCTGGCATATAAAACAAGCATGTAAACCCCCACTTTTCCCAATCAAACTTTAATAGCACAAATGACTTCTCATGAAATTAGCCTGTAAACAATCCTAAGTCCTCTTCCAGGGGAAGTTCCAAATAAATGCATGCGTAGAATTAGCATTTTACCTGCTACAAGAAAACATGAACTCTGCAGCTTGCAGGTCTAACAAGTGTCAGGACTCAGGAAAACTACAAGCGTTCACGCGTTTCCTCACAATCCATATTTGTATTATTGGAGTTTTGTAATGTATAGACAAAAGTTTAGAAAATGTACCACATTTAAAAACATTTAACATTTAAAAAAAACAAGCTCTGCAGCTACATAAGAAACATAAACCAGTGTAATCTCTTAGATCTGGGCACACCACGGACCATTTTAAAGATAAAAGTTCAGCAACAAATGTCATCTGTTTCTCTTTGTAAAAACAGACTACAGCTGTTCTCTTTACAGATTTTTTTTCAGCTTTTAAAAAAGGAGCACTACCATGATATTCAATAATTTGTCTTTCATGTTTCTTATTCACAGACCCAGTAACATTGCTCCCAAATATCTGAAGTTCAGGGATGCTCAGCCTCTTCAAATGGCTTTGGAAAGGGTAGAAATAAGCCATATGTTACCCCTGATAATTCTCCCCCAGTAGGCAGTCTGTAACAGGGAAGCAAACACCCTTCCCTTCTGCACTCAGACTTTCCCCGTGTTTTTAATATCCAAGTCACTTACTTACAAAATCCTGGCCTTCAGAAACAATGTTTAATTCCTTCAGTTCTGGCTTTTAAGTGATTCTATCATAGTCCTAGTTGGTAAAAATGCTTATTAGTGGTACCCAAGCATAAATATAAAGGGAAGCATCCTTTACAGCTTGCTTTTAAACTCCAGTGAACTCTCAGAGCTAACCCTTCCGACAGCAGGGACTATCTCAAGCAGAGTATCGCTGGGTGGGAAGAATTTCAGCCAAAATGTTTAATTGAATTTATTTCCAAGAAAGAGGCCAAGTGGGGGAGGGGAAGCTGTTCTGCCTGCATCGAACAATTCTGGCAATCTGCTGTTTGAGCAGCTCTAGTTCTTCTGTGCTTTGGAGCAGGGACTTCAAGGTTGGCGGGGGGGTACGTGTGTACACTTCATGCACTCTGTCATTTAAGTGCAAACCCACCCAAATTTGGCCCTGTTAGAAGTCTTTTGGGCTGGGATGGGAGGGAAAGAAGGGAGCAAGAATCTCTCCTGACCTCACATAAACTGTGATCTGTTAGAGAACAGCAGGCTGGACATCCAGAGACTCTTACTTTGAACAACTGCAGTTTGGAAGGCATAGATGTCTGTACAGGCTACAGCTATGCCAGATGATGAAGCCACTGTCTCCAACCTGTCCCCGAGCATTCAAATAATCTTCTTTACTTCCAAGGAGCCTGCTCTTGTAAGAGCTCCCTAACCTACTATTTCAGATGACATTAAACAGCTTATTTTTAGCCAGCCTGGCTAGCTGTGGCTGAATGCATTGGAAAGAGCTTATTGAAGCAGCTCAGCCACGGAGGGTGCCCCAAACCTTGAGATACTGCAGTCTGTGCCAAGTTCAAGTGCCGAGATTTAGCTTGAGATAAAGCACATATTCTCCAACACACTCAAAACCCCAGTGTTGCTTAGGCCTAACTGGGAATAAGCTGTCATGGAACAAGAAAAAGGCAGGAATGGAAGACTAGGGGAGCTTGCGGTGGGGAAGACTGCCAGGGAAGACACTGTGACACTGGTCAGAGGGCAGGTCTGGAGAAGATGCACCCAGATGGAGGGCATAAGACTGCAAGAGGGAAGACCTGGGAATGCAGCTTAGGTCCTTGAGTCTTACCAGTCAACTATGCTAAGGGACTGATCATGCAGTCTTAACATTTTGTTCGCAATATTGTATGAATATGAAAGGATCTATTTGTTTAAACTAGTAAACAAATTGTTTGGAAAACTGATTCCCAGAAATTCTCCTAGTTAAATTGCCAGGAAGTATCTGGCAGAGTTTGACAATGCAAAATAAGTAGCTCCCAAACTCTGGGGGTACAGAAATAAGCACAAGTTCTTTTTCACAAGCCAGCATGTGTGCTTAGGAGTGGGGTGGGTGGGGGAGGTGTGCCTTCAGGGTGTATTTAGTGGCTGAGAAGCAAGACCTTGTCTTTGGAGAATAGTTCCAGTTGCTGCAGGGCCAAGCTACAGCAGGAAAAACACCCCTCTTGCTATTTTGGTTTCCTCAGTAATACTTTGAGGCAAAGGTAAAAGGTCACTGAAAAGTTGTATGCACTTGACACCCACATGAGTCTGCCCATAGAACAACCATCAAATCCAGGAGAAGGTAAATTTGCTACTTTAAAAGTACATTCTCTCCTTAGTAGGAAAAAGCACCTTTTCCTCAACTGACAAGCTTCTCTTGTGCTTATGTTTGGTTCCATCCCCTCAGTAAGGTTGTCTGAAAGTTACACAGAGGTGCAAATGGTGCTTCCCCTCACCTTCTTTCTTTTTAAAAGGCAAGGAATACCACATCTGGACAATCTTGCAAGAAGGAGAGAAGGGGAGAGAAAGGGGTACCTTTACTCTGGGAAAGACGATTCACATCCACTAGCGAAATGCTTGGTTCAGAAGATTCCTCAGACTTTACCCAAACACGGCTTCAGAATACAAGGTGTTCCCTCCCACCCCACCATGCTCCCTGTCAGACCAAAAAAGCTTAAAAAAAAAATCTATATCTCTCTCTCTATATATATCTATGCTGCTATTGGTAGTATTTTAAACACCTAGGACTGACACCAAAAGCTCCCAAGAGTTCTGAAGAAGTCTGTCTTTACCAAGCACTGCTTGCAAGGAAGAGAGGGGACTGAAACTGGAATGATTCTCATCTTTCCACATCAAGCACTTTTCCAGCGTGCACATCTCTAACCATGGCTTTTTGGCATTCTTCTCATTTTAAAAGCCCTGAAAGTATCACTTGTCCTTCCTGAGGTAGGAAAGACTGAGTACAAATATGCCCGAAGTTAAAACACAACAGATGTGAGCTTCCCCAAACAGCACGAGGAGCCAGACTGCAAAGCTACCCTTGGTTATTAGCCTCCAGCTCTTAGGGTACCTAACCCTGGCTCCAAGACACCCTCAAGCAGTCATGTACAAAATGCACATCTGAACTCTGGAGCTTTGACCTCTCTCTACCAGAGTGCTGAAGATGCAGACCCTGGCACACAATAGCCGAAGCTGCAGCATGGCTTTTGGTGCACCCTTAGGGGCTGGTGCCATAGGAAGCTATTAATTCACCTCGACTCTGCTGCCTGTTGACTATCCCGCCCAGCGTCCATCGCCGGTCCAGGCGTCTCAGGTGAGCCTTGCGTCTCTTAGAAACTAGTTTGGAACATGGATGGAAACAAAAAAAAAAAAAAGACAAAAAAAAGAAAAAAATCATGGGAGGGTGAGGAATAAAAACAAAACATGGCATTTACAAGCACTGGTCTTGTTAGCAGGAATGGGTTAGGTGGGATGCAGACATTTTGTTTTAGTTTATATAGTACAGTGGAACAAGTTAGCTTCTTGAGCCTGAGCAACATGAGCCACCTAGAACTGTCACAAATTGCCACCCTTGCTACTGGCTTTCCTTAAAAGAACCAAAAACGTACATACACCCCAAAACAAGCTGCACAAATGAAGACAACTTGTCCAAGGAGGCTGCAGTGGCGGGACAGATCAACATCATTGCTGTTGCGTCTCCTAGTTAGGCTACAGGATCTTTGGAAAATACTGTCTATTGCATATGACATCAAACCCAATAGGGCTCTAACCCTGTCTAAGCAAATTATCACACTGTAAACAAAACACAGGGCGGGGGGGAAGGCAGCTTCTCTTATGCGAGTTCACTTGTAAAAGCAGCACTCAGGAACAGAACCCAAATGAAAAGTGTCTCATGTCTCTCCTTGCTTGCAACACATGACTCACAATCATTGTCACAGCTAATTATCGTGATCCAAATTTCTAATATACTGATTACAAATATAAGGAAAAAACTAACCTTGCAATTATTGAGCAGGCTCAAGAAGCTAACAAGCCATAACTGAAAATTAGTTACACACTGAAACAATAATTTATGCTTAAAATATAAACAAAGACAAGACCCCTATGGAAATGGCATTGTGAAAGCAGCTGTGCACAGAGGACACCACTTGTTTTCTGGATTGCACATGTAGAACTGTACTCAGCTCCTTCTTCTGCTTGTGAAGGTGTGAACGACACAGGAACCATTGGACTGGCACAGAAACACAGATAAACATTTCCCTTTTTCCATTCAAGAGTTTCCATGCTAGTTTGGCAACTACTGCAACGGTGCTTGGTGCTGCCACAAAGCAATGCAAAATACTACACTTCAGCTATCGCTATAGTGCAAACACAACTGTTTTGCTAGTGATGCTGGGAAACTGTCCATAAACTTTGATATCACATAATTAATAATCACTCAATTCTGCTTATGTGCACTCATTTGGGGAAGATACCCTTATGAGAGCAGACACCATCATCTCCTAGAACTATGTTCTATAGACAATCAGGCACAGCAAAATTATTTGATTGGGGAACGATTAGCTGAATAAGTAAAAAAATTAGTAACTTCCCCCAAAAGTGGCTTTTGCCTTTTTGCCCTTTCTATCTGTCAGGGGCTTAGACCAGACTTCTGCACCTAGCTCATTCTTCCTCAGTTTCTCCTTTTCTGTAAGGCCTAAACCCTCCCTAGTCACCCTAAGTGGAGGTGTGTTAAGTGGTGTTGAACAGACACAATATCTAGTTTGTGGTACTCTGTACTTCCCCTTTGATGCCACGTGAGTCAAAGAACCACCACAAATTTCCCGAGAAGCTGGATTTCAAGTTCATAGATTGCTGTGGTTTTGGCTAACAGAAATCAGTGATCCTCTGTGAAGCCCATGGTGGCACAGAGGATGAGCTGTGTTCACTCCTTGCTGGTGGTGTTTTTCTTACCAATTGTTTTAACCTGGTGGCTTTCTCCAAATCAACAGGACATTAGACTGCCAGTTACACACATGCTACGCAAGAGGCAACACAGGACAGATACCTCACTAGACATACAGATTATAGCAGAGAGAGAAGCTAAAGCTAAATTGACAGTAAGGCTGCCTGCATTAGGAGGTTTCTATACAAGAAGGGAGAAAATGAAAGGTGTTGAACTTAAAGGCTTGCAGGAAGGGAGAGTTTGGAAGGGGTAGAAATTTACTTCAGGCGTCAACACAGAGCAGTTACCCACAGCTCCTTGCTTGCACCAGGAGTTTGGAGGATTCAGCCATCCAGGAGCAACGCTTAAACACAGTGGGTCACACAGATCCACCACACTGTGTCCTCCTCACAACATATGACTATCCCCAGTGACAGCCCTTTTATATCACAATGATGCTTTGCATAAGTCAGGTTTTTTTCTCCTCAACAATATTGAATTTTGCCATTTGATCCTAGACTTGGACTTGGTTGGTCATGCCACAGTTAATCAGCAGCAAGGTTATTTATCAACAAGTGTCTAAACCTTTCCAGAGTCCATTTTAGGATGTTTACTTTAACAGCTCCTGTGGCTGTGAATGTTTCTTTAGATCGCTTTCTGAATGTTTTCCAAGCCTTTTAAGATGGTGTTGGTGTAAACACAGGCCCAGGTAGCAGTCAACTGTCTACCCTTGTCCTGACAAAAGATGATGTGCAGGCTCAGACGCAGGGAGGAAACACTTTTGTCTTTCTCAGGGAACAGACTATTTAAACAGAGACACATGGAAATATTACTGCTATGTACAAGCAGCATTATTAGCAAGTTGCATTCAGCACCTCCTTATCTTTACAAGGGCCTGCCACAGCAGAGCAGACCTCTGAGTTTGCCTGGCTTGTGGACTTGTTCCAGGTCCACTGCAAATGGAGAGGGCCAAGAGGCTGATACAGAAAGCTCTCTACATTAGTGATTCTACCCTTTCAAAGTAGGCAGAGCACAGATTGAACAGTTGCAGGAAGTCAACACCTCCAGAAGTCACTCTGAAACTTGTAGAACTCTAAATCCAGGTGCTAGGGCACTTAATCCACTTAAAGTGCCTTCCTCCTCAGTTATATCGGAGCTCCTTTCTCCTGCCTCCTGAGAGAGAGTTGGCAAGTTTTCTGTGTAAATATGTTTACTTTTACACACTTGTCTTTAAGAAAGTGAATCTGAGTTGTTCTTTCCTCTCTTATGGAATAACTGTTAGGAGAAGAATAGCCCAAGTAAAGAACTGGAGGGGGCAAAAATAAAGAACAAAGGAAGTCTCAGCTTATGTAGTTAACAACATAAAACAAAGTTACTGAAAAACGAGTGAAAGCTGGGGCACATCAAAGCAGCTGCAGAGGTAATGCAATTAGATTTGTCACTGAGATGGAACTGAAAAGAAAGGAAAGAACAGTCTCAGGTTTCAGCATATCTGGATATGGAGTATGGCAGGGAGCATGACTGCTGACCATAGCTGAGGAGAGCAGTGTAATGGATTAAGGGGGACCGACAGGAAAAAGATAAGGAACATTTGATGGATTTTCCATTACCCAGGAAAGACTGCTGTGTGGCAACAGTCCTGTGCAGAGTACACTCCAGAGGGCAACATGAAAGGTGGAGGAGAGCTTGAAATGAAAGCAGTTTAAGCAATAAGGCTGTCAAGCATGCACCATATTTAAGAGTCAGGAAAAGGGAGGAAGCTACAGACCAACAGACAAGGCATTCTTCAACTCTTTCAGAAAAGAGCAGTAAGTTTTTCTTCTTTACTAACAGGGAAACTTTACTAACTGCTTTTGCATCTGCTAAGATGTTGCATCATACCAGACCGGTTCCCGTCCTACCAGTCTACAGCCAGTCTGTCTCTAAACCCTAAGTGACCCAGGATATGGGTAGCTTTGAGCAGGGAAAAATTAGTTACAGAGCCAAAGATTTCAATAAGCCACAGATGTCACCCTTGGGGCCCAGCATAAAGTTATGTTTTGCCTGTGTGCTATCTTAATGGGCAGATGGTCATCCCACCACATCTCTAAGCTTCCTGCCTGTGCTAAGGAAAGGTCAGCTGAGTTTCCACATACGTTTTACATAAGTGTCACGTCAAGAGCACCTAGAAATTTAGCAAGACGTTCATTAGAATGGAGCAAATCATAATAAAAGTGTCCTTTGTACACAGTTGCTACATGAGAAGTCCATTAAGATGTGGTTAGTCTTTCATAATGGAACAGAGGAACATGTGAGGTTTTACTATTCCACTTCTGGAACCTGAATTAAGCATCTTTAGCCAAAAACCAGCGCAGCTAAATACATATACATGACAAATAGCATCTCAGTTTTAGTAGAATGAGACCACACCAAATAAAATTACCTTTCCACACAATCATAGACCACAGCAAAAAGCAGTGAAACTAGTTTCAAGGATTAATTAAAAAAAATTGTAATGAGAAGCAAATTGTAATGAGAAGCAACCATTAAAGTTAAATCTCACTCCTTTTAATGGACTGTGGCTCGAACAAGCACCTTCTTCCAATTAAAAGCTCTCACTTGTGTAATTTCTGCAAAAAGCCATGCAAGTTCTCTCCTTCCATGGACATGAGAGTCCAGGACCTGTACCAGAACATACTGCTTGGACTTGCACATAAGTTGTTTGTATGCTTTTTAAGGGTATTAAAAGGAGCATAATTTTCAGCTTTTGAACCTTTTGTCACACTGACAGCCCAAGCTGGTCACAAAGAGATTACAGGCATGGTAACTGACTCCAGTTTCTTCTGCAACAATTTATTTACTGATACAAGACGGGAGAAGAGGTTACTGAACTGGATTAACAGCCACAAGTGGCACCAAGAGTTTTCAAAGTTTTCCTGTGGGGTGTGGGGGGGAACCATAAAGTAAGTGAATACCAGTTTCCCCTTGATAACAAAAAAGCTTTCCATACCTTCCCCAAGTTTGGATGTGTTGATGTCAGAGTCATCTCTGGTTCCATTTTGGGATTCCAAGTACGTAGCAGGGACCCAGCCTTGCTCCTCTGCTGTGCTCACAAACCACCAGCCTACAAAAAGAAGTAAAAAAGAAGTTGCTCAGTCAACATTAAGAGGAACAAGAATAGCAAGATGCTACTGAGAAGGCAGCACAGCATCAGCAGCTTTGGTGCAGATTTGAGTTATCTGGCAGCCTCCTAGAAGGAGAGGGGGTTTAGTCCTATTATACCATTTCTATCAGATACTCTCACAGTGGTAAACGAGTGTGCAGGCAGGCCTCATGTAAAAAAGGCTGCAATGGAACAAACATCAGTTTATTTTAAGAAACCTGAAGTCTATCTATGACAGCTCTGATTTGAGTTCTCCAATTTAGTTTCTCAAAACAAGTCTTGCAACATGTACATCTACAGTATCAAAACACTTTGTATGTGTATACATGCATATGTGAATGTATGGGAAATAGCACAAACATTTCCCAAATCCTACTATGAGGTATCACGGAAGTCAAAAGATGGAAATAGGAAAGACTTTAGTAGAAGGGCACAGATTTCAGAACAGGACACAAAATAGTAATTGCTTCAATTGCACTTGTCACCACAGCCGGTATTTAACAAACATGACCTGAATTCAATGCCCTGGGAGGCTGGAAGGTACTGCATAGAACAGAAATAAGAGAGAAGAGCTAACTGAAATGTGACTTCAGGCCATAGGCACCAGTTATTTGCCTTCCCACCTGAACATCCAAGTTTCTACCACTATCTACAAAAATGTTGAGTATTCACCAACTATAGGCATATAACTTCAGGGCACATCCATGGATGGATGAATAAAATTATAGGTGAGCCATCTTATGGTTAAATACATCCCAACCGTAACTATCCTTGCCTCTTTTCTTGCTTGGCTACATTGATCCTCCACTGGTTTTGATGTAGACTCACTCACTCACCCAAGAGCTTGCTGCTCTTAGTTATGAGCACAGCTAGATTCTGCTCCATTCAGGTAAGGTCAGAGTTAAGATACAGGACAATAAAAAGCCCAGCAGGTAAAACAGTTCTGTTGCTTTCTTCAATCTCCCAGTCTCCCCCCAAAATGCAAGTTGCTTTCTCAAGACAATGTGAACTATTGTTCAACACCAGTCTTTCAGCCTCCCCAAAGGGAGTTGAGAAAATAGCTATTTCTGTACATGCACCTCAAAACAGTTTACAGACTTTAACGGCTGTCATAAACTCAACTAATTTCACAGGAGACTCCCAAGCCTGCCTGTGATGAGCAAAGGCAGGGACGAGCCATCTTGCTCTGTAAATAGATGGGGCACAAAAACTAGTTAATTTATGGTGGGGCAAAGCCCCGAGTTGTGTGACGGCCACACAGCCCTCCCATAGCTGGGAGGCCGCAGCCCCGGGCCTGGCAAGGGGAAGGGAGGCTTCGCTGGGCTCTGCCATCATGCAACTTTCTTTAAAGAACAACAAAGGAACCAGCTGAAACAATGCTCAAGTGTTTATGCTAAAAGTCACCCAAGTTTGTTCCAAATCCTGTCATGGAAGATTTTACAAGAGGACAGTAGTTACAAACCCTCGTTTTCCTCCCTGGGGCCTGCGGCTGGGAGACAATGTGCCCCAGGGGACAAACACCCTCACTTGCCACTGCACAGCTGCTAGGTAGCTCTATTTACTCTCAAAACTCAGACATGGCTTTCCATTTTCTGGCCCAGCAGAGGTTTGGAAACTTTGCTTCACAAGGCTCATGGTTGGAAAGTTTAAATTTAGTTATTCCCCCTCAGCAGGAGGTGAATTCTCCTGCCACGAAGCCCACAGCAGCAAACACGCAGGATCTGCCAGACTGTTTCAAAAACACATCATAGAACCATTTAGGTTGGAAAAGACCTTTAAGATCATCAAGTCCAACCATTAACCTAACACTGCCAAGTCCATCTTCACGGTTGTTCCTTATTTTACTAGCAACGTATCGACATGGGTAGCAAACTCTGTTTAACATACACTTATAATTAGGCACAAAATGTCAGAAGCTGGCTTTCAGCTGCTATCAATTAGACTGGAATAGTTTATGCAAACTCTTCCTCAGAAAGAAATTAAACAGAATTGCACAAAAAGGACTTGCCTACACTTAAAAACGTGTGCTTGGGCCAAATTCAAACCATGGTAAAGTCTGGTCTTTGGAGGGCTGGATCACACAGCCTTGACGCCCACCCAGTGCTAGCCCATTTCACAATACAGCTCCTCTGGTTTGGCTCACTGAGCTGCATCGTGGCCTTTGAGCTCAGTTCAACATCTTGTGTTTGGAGTCATAGGGTAGCTGAGCCTCCATCCATCTAAACAGGGCTCCCTGCTAAAAGGCAACCCCTCACCCCACGCCTAGGTGTGCATACACATGCATCCCCCATACCACCGTGCCTCCTTACTGCCATTCCCAGCTCCTGAAAGGCCTCAGCAGGGAAACCTCACGACTCACTGATCTTATGAACAGGCTCCCACATACCAGTTGGAGGTCAAGTCACATTTGAGGTAGGTTACAGTCAAGTAACTCAACCAAATCCGTTGCAAGATGCAGACAGAGCATATAAGAGCCTAAGTGAGGTTTTAAGCTGCTTTGATTCTTCAAGCCATCACTAAGGTTAAAGATCCTAATCACCACAGAGCTCATGGAAGTTATAATTTCTTTCTAAAGATTTCCTTTATAAACTATGTGCAAGGGTAAAGCATAAATGAGAAACCTCCGCAACTACTGAGAAATCAGCAGTATCTGTCCTGCTTCAGAGAAAACCAGGCCCCGCGGCGAAATTCTCTTCTCCCATTTCAAGCTTGCTTCTCAGGACAAAAGAAGGGCTTTAATGCAGCTCATTGGAGTAGCATGTCCACAGAAAAAAGTATGTTTTACTTAAACAGCCTGAACAACTGAGAAGCCTGAGAAACTTCCAAGCAGCACCCCCCAGCAGCACAGAAGTCAAAAACGGATGCTCACAAGCAAGATGTGCAGCGTGTTAGAGTGGCTAAGCAGACATTGCAGAGGCAACTTGCTCCTTGTGAGGCGAAAATCTGAATTATGATGGCACATCTAAGCCATAAGCCTACAGAAAGGAAATTACAGCATAGTGCAAGAATTGACAAACTCCTAGCAGAAAATGGCTGAAGCACAGACAAGTTCCACAATGCTGTCCATGCATGACAGCCCAGAACTGCAGAACTCTGCCCAGCTGATCGTGAAGTACTTGCTCTGCACCATCCCATCATTAGAAGCATTAGGGCAGCTGCCATTTGGTCCTACCACCCTTTTCCCCCCACCCCCAGGTTAATGGGGGTTCATGGTTTGCAGACAAATTAGCCAGACTGGCCTTTGTTTGCAGAAAGTTAGGGCTGTAATGGTGCAAACCATCTCTTGTCCCCTCCCCTGCCATCTTTCCCAACCCAGAGCATCACAGGAACGTTGTTAGAAAACTTGCTTTTGAAACACAGAACAAAACATTGCATTTATTTCGAGTTCTCCCTCTATGCTGGAGTCGAGCTCGACTTCACGATTCATTATTAAAACCATTCTGCAGCAACATCTGCAGGGAATTATGTAAAGTTATCTCTGTGCACTGCCAAGCCAGTCTGAGGTTCGCTCTTGCACTCACACCATCTGTAAAAATTAGGCAGTGCTTTACAGCTTGAGTTAACCCTTACAGACGCCCCTATCTCTCACGTATCAAAACACAACTCTAAAGCTGATGTGGCATGGATGTCTAGACTGAGACTCATCTATCCTCATCCCTGATGAGGATTCAAAGGGAGTTTAAGCCTCACAGAAGGCACACAGAGAGTTGTAGCCACTGCAGCCAGACCAAGTTCAGCTTGAGCTTTGCTGCATTACTCCAAATCCTGCCTTAATACTAATCCAGGAATATGAATTTTTAAGGTAGGAGTGCAATTTTCTCCTCATGTCTGTTGACCCTTTGGTTGGCATCTGTCAGCATCCCTAGCTGCAATAGCCAAGATGTCTCTACACTCACAGAGTCCATCTAGGCTCTGATAACTCTCAGGCATTTTCAGCATGGAGCTACAACAGTTACCAAGAGATGAAAGGTTCCACTTGCCACGCATACATACACACTGCAAGATGATGATTGCAAAATACATTGGTCACACTGGAGAGTGAATAAATGACAAAAATACTGTGATTCTAAAGATCATGTTCTTGCTTTTAATTGTATTCCCAGTCCTCTCCCCAAAAGGCTTTAAAAAAGCAAAAGAATTAAGCTAAGTGTTACCCACAACCCACACCATGGGAAACTACTAGAACATAAAGGACTACCTTTTATGCAAGTTTTGCTAATGTATACATGCGTCCTCACCCATCCATACTTCAATGTCGTCCCTTTCTCCACACCAACAGGAAAAATTAGTTATTCCTTTTGAAGTCTGCCTAATCATGAGATGCTACAAATCACTTAAAAAAAGATAAAAAAAATTGGAGGATCATGCTGAACATTGGTTTCTTATTCTCCCTTAAGCCATTAACTTCTCTTTAGACTTGATTGTCAATTTATGAGCTTAACTAAAGTAAACAAGAAGGACAGCACCACTGTAAAAGGGAATGGGAATCTCTCCTGCATGAGTAGACTACACATTCTTCTAAACAAACACTTAAATAACACTCCACCTCTCAAGAGTTTTGGAAAAATCCCACTCAAGCAGCAGTCTGGTACCTCTGACATGCAGTTTTTGGGCTTCAGAGAGCTGCTCCCTTTTAAGTCCTTCTGCCTTGGAACTCTCTTGAGGGTTTTTTTTTCTGATCCAGCAACTTCAATTGTCCTACAAAGCAGTACTAGACACAATCAGGTCACTTCCAGACCTGACACACAGACTTTTTTGTGCCAACAGCTGATTACTTTCCTTCAGAGATGTGATCTGATCATTAAAAAACAGCTAAGGTAAGAGTATTGCTGTGCAGATGAAGGTGCTTGCTTTTTTCACCCCTCTAGAGCTCTTCCCAGTACATGTATATTTGATACATAGCGAAGTCAGTCATAATTGCCTCGGACAGACCTCCAAAGAGGATGCAGAAGCAGAAATGT